CCTAATGGGAGCGAACTGAGCACGATATATATATATATATATATATATTATATATATATATATCACTGCTCAGCCACAGGTTTGTACCTAGCTCGTAACAAAATCTAGAAAACAAGAAGGCACATTTATGAAAAGATAACAGAAACATAACAGCGACGCATCCCTTGCCGTGAGCACATGGTCTTTGCCATGAGATAAGACAGCGCCTTCTGGCCGCACCGCCGCCGTCCGTGCCACGCCCAACAGCGCGGGCCGCGGCGCGCCGGTCGGACCGCCCCTCACCCTGCCACCATGCCGATGAGGAGCAGCGCGGGGCGCCGCGAGCCGCCGCCGCCGCCGCCGCCAGTGAACCGCTCCCACAGCAGCTGGGTGAAGGCTGCGCCCAGGTGGCCGGAGCCGACCAACTGCACGACCAGCTCCTCCAGCGAAGCCAGCTCCGACAGCGAGGCGTCCTCGCAGAGCGCCGACAGGCTGGCCGCCGCCTGCGACGCGCGGAACCTGGCGTGCGGCGACGGACGGGGTCAGCACCGCGAGAGCCGCGCTCGAGCACCGGCCCGAGGCGGCAGGCGGCCCACGCCAGTACACCAGCGCTCACGTCAGCGCACAGGACACGCCCAACGTCAGAACGGCACGCTGTGTCAGCTGCGCTTAAACGGCCGCCAGCGACAACGGCTAGGTCAGCAGGCCAGCTCAGGTCAGACTGTTTCTCTCGCCCCGTCAGCACATCGGCGCTCCTCGGTGTACCGATCCGTGCCAACATGTCACCCCACGTCACTGCACCGACTGACGCCAGCACATCGGGCTTCATCGGCGGCGTCGTGCCTCCGGGCCTGCCGGCGCCTGCACTGCGGAGCCGTCCCGTCCCGCTCGGAGAGCCGGCCGCACCCCGCCAAGGCCGGGCCGCTCACCTCTCGTTGCCCTCGGCCGGTACGTAGAGGCGCCTGTAGGCGGTCACCACGGCCTCCTTGACGGCCGCCTCGCGGCTCCAGATCAGCGACAGCATCTGGCGGATACCCACCATCGCCTGCAGCAGGCCGAACTCGAACGCTGGCGAGAGAGGGACGAACGCGACTCACGATCGGCGCCCGGCACCGGCGGCGGCCGGCGGCTCAACCAGACGGCGGCGGCGAGTGTCTCGCTGTCGAGCGCATCGACCACCGTCCGACGCTGTTCAGCACCAGCGACACCAGCTGGTCACGGCTAGCCTACTGTGTAGCCGCCGAGCTCACGTGCACGTGCTGAGCTGGCCGCGGTTCCCGGGCGGCACGCACGCGCCACGGCGACCGGCTGGAGCGCGGCGCCGTCTGCGCCCGCGGCTCGCGGCACCGCTCACCCGTGACGAAGAACGAGACGGCCTCCAGCACGTCCGTGGTCTGCGCCGAGCGGAGGAAGCCGCAGATGCCCGGGATAGCCTCGTCTATGAGCCGGGCGAACGCCACCGAGTCCTGTCAGAACGCCGGCCACGGTCTCACGCTCCGGTCACACGCACCAGGTGGGCGCACGAGTGTCGTCAACAACGCCAGGGCGCGCGATACCTGATACCGCACCACGTGACGCATATGTCCGCATATGCAAGACACGTCCACGCAACCGGCAAACCCTGTCTGCAAGAGCGGGTGGGCACAAAGAGGGCACGAATGTGAGCACAAAGAGTGCGCGCGTGCGCGCGCGCCGGTGTGCCGACGGTCGCACCTTGAAGTAGAGCACCATCATCTTCTGTTTGTCGATCTCCAGCTGCCGGTCCGGGTGTTGGCAGTCGGCCCCGGCGGCAGCCAGCGCCTCCAGCGCGGCCAGCAGCCGGCCAGCGGCGGTCGGGCCAGCCGGCGACTCGGCGCTGTCACACAACCCGGCACGGTCAGCCCGGCGCCCACGCAGCGGCGGCGGCCAGCAGCCGGCCAGCGGCGGTCGGGCCAGCCGGCGACTCGGCGCTGTCGCACAACCCGGCACTGGCAGCCCGGCGCCCAATCAAGCGACACTCCATTCCAGTTAGCTCCTCCCGATTAGCGCAAATCAGTGATCATTTCTTGTATGGAACAGTTATGATGCCCAAGAGCTGATTGTTTTGCCAATTGTATTCAGCCCGTAACCGAACAAGGAGTGGATTAGTGAGCGTTGTGCAGACGGTGCCGTTTGCGAGCGCCTATCCGAAGGAAGCAACACAGACGCAGCGGGCTATAGGGCACTGCTCGTCATGAACAAGGCATCATGCGCCCCGAGTATCCATTAAGTATTACGTGTGTACAGCGCACCCCGTAACAGTTGTTGCATGTCGCCGGTGACAGCGCGCCACCTGCCCCGCGCGTGATGCCAACGCTCCACCTCTCCGTCGTGTCCGGTGTGCCCGGTGTGCCCGGTGTGCCCGTGTGCCCGGTGTGCCCGGTGTGCCCGGCGCGTCCGCCGTGTCCGCCGTGTCCGGTGTGTTCGCCGTGCCTTACCTGTCCTCTATGTCCGGCCTGTCGGCTGTGTCCTCTGTGTCGTCTGTGTCCGGCGCCAGGCCCGGTAGCAGGCGCGGCTCTGCCAGCAGCAGACGGGCAGCCTCCGCGAGTCCGCCGTCGGCCGACAGCAGTGCCAGCAGACGCTCGCGGCCCGCCAGCAGCGGCGAGGCGTCGCCGCCCCCTGCGGACGGAGCGCCAAACACCGCTCCCGTCAGAGCACGGCAGAGGCGGCGGCCGACACCACACACTCGCCGCTGCGTACGTACAGGCGGCGGTCGGCACCACACACTCGCCGCCGCGGTACGTACAGGCGGCGGCAGACACCACACACTCGCCGCCGCGGTACGTACAGGCGGCCGCCGACACCACACACTCGCCGCCGCGTACGTACAGGCGGCCGCCGACACCACACACTCGCCGCCGCGGTACGTACAGGCGGCGGCAGACACCACACACTCGCCGCCGCGGTACGTACAGGCGGCCGCCGACACCACACACTCGCCGCCGCGGTACGTACAGGCGGCCGCCGACACCACACTCGCCGCGCCGCCGCGGTACGTACAGGCGGCGGCAGACACCACACTCGCCGCCGCGGTACGTCTCTAACACGCGCGCAAGCATTTTTCCCATATCGTGCACACCACACCACACGCACACACACACATACGCACGCGCGCACGCACGCACGCACGCACGCACGTACGCACGCACGCACACTTTGATCACAGCGCCCATGAATCATCTCATTTACCTGAGCATCTAAGGTCAACACCCATCGGCAATAATAACGTACCTGCTACCTCATTCTTCAAGGCAATCGTCAGTTGTTTCTGGGCCTTTGCAAGCACCTTGACAAGCGCTTTCTCCTCGGTTTTCTCTCGCCTGAGTCATCACTCGCGCCCTCCTCCTCCTCCTCCTCTTTCTCCTCCTCTTTCCCCTCTTCTTCCTCCTCATCCACGCCCAGCTCAGCCAGCTTTGCCTTTTCCGTGCGATACTGCTCCTCTAACTCAGCCACGGGCAGCTGGGGACAGATTATAACACCAAGCGATCACGCCTCGGCGGGCCATGGCACGGGAGAACGGGTCAAAGCGTAACCAGAAATCCAATGGCCCGACATCAGACAGGCTCTGGCGAGTACCTTCAGACAATACCGGCGGGATGTGCGGCCACACTGCAGTGTGTATCACCTACTCCTCATTACTGCCCAACGAGCACCGTGCGTTGTCCCACTGGGCGCCACGGGGCCATCGGACGTGTCTTCGCCGGCACCATGACAACAGTCCTGCTACAGCGTGGTCGAGCATCCCGTCTGTTCAGCGGGTGCCAAAAGGCGACACCCTACGCGGCTGGTGCGATCCGTCCCACTTCGGCCGTCGCCAACAATCCTCCAGACAGACCTCTTCACAGGCTGCGCGGTGTGCTTCGCCGCGCAATCTCGCACAGATTGCGACGAGCACGCAGGGACAACCGGAATCATCCCACCCCAGCGCTCGCTGTGGCGGTTGGAAGTCGCGTCGCCCGCGGCCGAGTGCCGAGCCCCGCCCGGCCGGCACCTTGGCGGCGAACGGGTTGGCCTGCAGTAGCGCGGTGACCAGCTGGAGGGCGGCGCGGCGCACGTTGCTCGACTTGTCCTGGAGCCGGCCAGCGGCCAGCCGCAGCACCGTGCGCTGCCGGCTGAGCGGCACGGCGCCGTCCGTCACCAGCTTACGCCAGATCTGCAGTACCTGCCGACACACACATAAACACGGTGCCGTCCGTCACCAGCTTACGTCAGATCTGCAGCACCTGCCGACACACACACACGGCGCGCGTCCGTCACCAGCTTACGCCAGATCTGCAGCACCTGCCGACACACACACACGGCGCCGTCCGTCACCAGCTTACGCCAGATCTGCAGCACCTGCCGACACACACACACGGCGCCGTCCGTCACCATCTTACGCCAGATCTGCAGCACCTGCCGACACACACACACGGCGCTGTCCGTCACCAGCTTACGCCAGATCTGCAGCACCTGCCGACACACACACGGCGCCGTCCGTCACCATCTTACGCCCAGATCTGCAGCACCTGCCGACCCACACGCACGCACGCACGCGCGTACACGCACACGCACACACGGCGCAATGTCAGACACGCCGCTATTGGCGCCGCCAGTGACCCGGACGAGACACACCACCCTCGGCACACCAAACATACGCAGAAACACACTCAATACCGCTAATATAAAAGAAACGATCAATGTAAATTGTATGCAACGAATGCCTGTTTATTTCCTTCGATCAAGCGACACATGGAGACTTCATTTTGGACTACGTGGATTTCTGGAGACAGCCGTGGGACAGGCCAGTGGTGCTGTTGCGTTCCCATCCCAAACGCATTTGTGATGCTCCCGCGCCCACCGATCTGCCAGCGGCCTTCCAACACAGCAATCGGATCTGCCACCCCCGCCTCCACCATCCAGCGAGGATAATCTCGACCAGGCCGGCCGCGCCGGCGCCGGCTCCGGCTGCAGCCCCCACCGCCGGCGCCGGCGCCGGCTGCAGCACCCACCGCCGCGCCGGCACGGCCCGGCTGCAGCCTCAACGCCCGGGCCCCGGCCCCGGCTGCAGCCTCACACCGCCGGCCCCGGCCCCGCTGCAGCCCCACCGCCGGCCCCGGCCCCGCCCCGGCCCCGCTGCAGGCCCCACCGCCGGCCCCGGCCCCGCTGCAGCCCCACCGCCGGCCCCGGCCACCGGCCGCATCCCCACCGCCGCGCCGGCCCCCGCTGCAGCCCCACCGCCGGCCCCGGCCCCGGCTCCGGCTGCAGCCCCACCGCCGGCCCCGGCCCCGGCCCCGCGCTGCAGCCCCACCGCCGCGCCCCGGCCCCGGCCCCGGCTGCAGCCTCACCGCCTTCGCCGGCCCCGGCTGCAGCCCCACACCGCCGCGCCGGCCTGGCTATACCTTGGTGCGCACGAAGGCGGTGCACGTTCATGCACGTGCTGCTCGAGGGTTGTCGAGGAACTCAGTCCCGAATCTCGCGCGGCTTTGGCTCCAGCTGCTCGCCGGTTTACACCAGGCTGACCATGTCGCCAAGGATTGAGAGCACGGCGTTCCGCATCAGATGCGACTGTGGACAGTCCCGAACACACACCGGTCATCAGGGGTGACTGTGGACAGTTCCGGCCACACACCGGTCATCAGGGGTGCCTGTGGACCGTCCCAGCCACACACCGGTCATCAGGGGCGACTGTGAACAGTCCCGCCACACACCGGTCATCAGATGTGACTGTGACAGTTTCCGGCTACACCACCGGTCATCAGGGGTGACTGTGGACAGTTTCCAGCCACACGCCGGTCATCAGGGGTGACTGTGGGACAGTTCCAGCCACCACTGGTCATCAGGGGGTGACTGTGGACAGTTCCGGCCACACACCAGTCATCAGGGGTGACTGTGGACAGTCCCAGCCACACACTGGTCATCAGGGGTGGCTGTGGACAGTCCCAGCACACACTGGTCATCAGGGTGACTGTGGACAGTTCCGGCCAAACACAGGTCATCAGGGGTGACTGTGGACAGTTCCGGCCACACACCGGTCATCAGGGGTTGGCTGTGGACGGTCCCCGCCACACACCGGTCATCAGGGGTGACTGTGAACAGTCGCCGGCTCTTTGCAATGCATTTAGAATTGTTTTGTGCCGGAGGAGAGCAACCCTTCAAATTTTCCACCTCGCATTTCACAGCCGCAGACGCTCCAGTCCGTTCATACTCTGCTTGCAACGAAGGAGCCACTACGCGGATATTGGGATACACATATTACAAATACACAAATTGCCATAGATATACATATCATAGATACACAAAGTATCAGTAAGGCGCTGCATAGCAAGAAGCTTTAAGCCGTCGCCTTTCCTCAGCATTTAAAGCGTCCCACCAGCGCAGCACGAGCCAGTGTGTGCCCCACCCGGCCGTCGCCGCTCCCTGGGATCCCCACCTCGCCGTCCAGATGACCGATGAGCAGGCAGATGTTGTTGAGCACCAGGTCCGGCGCCTGCACGGCCACCAGGCTGAGGAACTCGGCGTAGTGGCGCGTGGCCGAGCCGTCCTTGGTCAGCTCGGCGGCGTCCGTGCCAGCGATCTCGCGCACCAGCTCGTTCACGAGGCCGCGGCCGCCAAACTCGGTGGCGATGGTGACCACGCACTGCGCCAGAGGCGCCGGCGCGTGCTCGTACTGCTGCAGGATCTGGCGCAGCACGGCAGGGCCAGTCAGAAGACGGGCGGGACAGCCGGGTCGGAGCTTGAGGCGGACAAGACGGAGACGAATGGGTAGGAGGTGGGCCAGCAGGAGGGTCAGGGAGGACGGAGGGTCGGGGCCGGAGACAGATGGCGTGGCTAGGTCGGAGTGTGAAGCGGACAGAGCGGCGGGGTCAGCGTACGACGGAAACAGCGCACGTAGCGCAACACCACCGCAAGGCGGCGGAGCAAGTGTGGGCGGCAACGGCCTTACCACAGCATGCCAACCAACAGAGCGCAGACAAGCGGCGCCTGTGTCCGCGTCCTGGGTCGGACGTCCTTGAGGGGTCTGACGGCAGTCTTCCGTCCCTGGATACCGACCACAGTGAGGAGCAGTCATCCACCTCTGACATGGCCCGTTTAACTCCATGACTGAGGAGATCTCTTTCCCTCACAGGAAACCAGGTTGTGCGTCACACGACAGAGGGTGCCACCTGTTGGCCGAGGTGCGAGACACTCCACAGCCCCGAGAAGTCCGCGTAAAGCCACCCAGCCCCTCCTCGCAGGCCGTGCCCGGATATCCGGCCTTCCCCAGCTGCCCCAAGGGGCGTGGCACGCCGCCCGGCCCGGCGCAGCACACACCTGCACCATCTTGAGACCGCAGCTGAGCGCGTGCCCGTAAGAGCGCACCAGAGCGCCCAGCACCTGGCTGATGCTCTCCAGCAGCGTCTTGTTGCGCACGTGGCCAACACTGGGCAGCGCAAGGAAGTGGTAGCAGACGTTGCCGATGGTGCTGTGGGCGGCGAACGATCAGGCGTGAGGCTGCGGGCGTCGCAGGCGGAGGTCGGATGGCGCAGGGACTGCACCCGCCGCGACTGCGCGTTAAGACGCGCCTGACAGCGCCTGTCCGTCCCGCAGGCGGCGGCCACAGGTCGGCATTAATCACAAAATAGCGGCGTGCACCGCACATTCCATACGGATCGAAACACAAAGAGAACTAACAAGACGTGGCCGATCAGAGCACGTTGCATAAATGGACAGATCGGGGACACTGTTGATTAGTTCAACAGCGCCTGCCTGGGTGCCACCCCGCGGCCACCGGCCACCGTTGCGACGACCGGCAGCGCCCCGGGAACCTGTCTGGCGGCCTACTTGACAAACTCCTCGTCGGGCACGGGCGGCTGCCAGAGCGTGCGCAGGCGCAGCTGGAGCACGGCGTACAGCTGGCGGAGGACGCGCAGTCGCTGCGCGTCCCAGTCGCCCTCGTCAGCCGCCGGACGCCCGCCGCGCTTCCGACCCTGCGCGCGCCAGACGGCGCGTTACGACAGGCGGCTCAACGGTTACTTTCTGTTAAGCTGCGCGTCTAGGAAGCCAGAGGTATCGGATTCGACTCCTCGTGGTGACCGCCCTCCCTACCAGGGGAGAGGCACGCAACGTCACACAGCCTCAGTAGTTAAGTATATCGTAAGGCTCTAATGACAACGAGGCCGAGAAAGATCAGCTGGTGGTCGCAGCTGAGGGCGTTCCGATTGCTCTAGTTAATGCCTCTTTACGGCTAACAGCTTGCAAAGAACAGATGTTGACACGTCAACACGGTCACACATTCTCAAAGCAGCGCGCTTGGCAGGGCCGATACAGGAAAGCCGTCCCCAGGTCCCGGACCAACGGGGGCAGGCCCTCACCTTGTTGGCCATAAGCACGTCTGCCGGCCGCTGCGCCGCGTCTTCGAAGGCGCCCGCCAGCTGGCACAGCACGTACGTCGACATCTTGAGCATGTTCAGATGTTTGAGCCGCGTCTCGTGGTCAAGTGACTCGGACTCCAGCAGCGCCGAGAGGTCGGCAGTCAGGTACACGTAACCTACCGCCACAGCGAGACGCTCAGACGACAGGCAATGACGTAAAAAAGGAAGCACTCCGCACGAGATAACTGACGATAGGGAAAGTCCTTTCACGGGTCATTAATTGTGAGGCACTGATAAAAGCTAACGTATTTTCGTAATACACCTCAGTGATAGCTTGGCTTGGCATCTTTCTGCACCCAGCATCTCTTGGCATACCAAAGATAGGTTATGTTCAACATAAGGACTCGGCAAACAGCGGTCCACACATCTGCCTGGGGAAGCTCAGTATCTGCCTTCTACGCATGACTAACATCAAATAGGCGGGTCTGGCTTTGTGGCGTGTCACCATAACCTGCCTTTGTTCACTATTTCCCATATCTGCTCCTGGTCTGCAGTCTTCAGGGATGAAAAATGAATGATGGAACTGTACAGCACGTCGAACTTCTCCAGGGCAAGTTCGCTGCGATCCGTTGACAGGGCGACGACAAGATCTGAAAAAGCAGAGAAACCCAAATTCACAACTGACAGTTATCACAAAACAGGGTGTGTGAAAACCACAATTTGCAGCAAAATGCTCACACAATTCCTGCTATCAGGGTCAGACAGAAATTAAACAAATGGCAACATGCAAAATGCAAGGAATGCACACAAAGGACCACTAGATATCCACAATCTCAGCTGAGAAGCTGCCAGGATGCCAATCAATGTCCCTTTCCATATCTGTGCCATAATGTCTTAGCAATTATAACAGCCTGACAGGTTATGTGCACTCCCCTTTATGAAGTGCAGACCCATGGGGCAAGTATCTAAGGCTGTGTCCATTTCCAGTGAGGATATAACACAGCAGTTCATGAACCAGCCAACCCACACTCACCATGTACAGATGACTGCAGCTCTGATGGCTCATACACGTGCCTGACCACATAGCTTCCAGCCTCACGCGGCTGCTGCAGCTCGTCACGCTGGATGGGTATGATAAACTCAAAGTGGGACATGATGCCTGGAAACAGATCGACTTTAAAGCAATCGTGAGCTCTATAGATTGGGTTCTGTCATGCCCATAAATATATTTTTGAGTCAGGTGGGCAGAATTGTAACTTAATGGCTGTGTGGCACCTTAAGGTTTTTCGCTCAAAACATGCAGCTAGTGAAAGTGGAAATGTGTTCACCAGTATCAATATAGCTGCTTACATGCACCCTGACAAAGAAAAAGCTTGCATCCACATCATAATCTGTTTATCCTAGACCAATGCTACTATGATCACAACTGCCCCAATGAAGCATGCTCATTTGTGAGCAAACAAGATTTTGTGGGTGGCAGAATCTTAGGCTACAGGAAAAACAATACCATGTTCTGGGGCTATACCATTACCCTTCCCATCTCCACAAATCAAAGTTTTTTCACTGCAATGAATCATATAAACAGACCCAGGCATGCAATCAAACAGATCAGCACCTACGAATGGTGGTACAAACTAAAATCCAGCTAAACAAGTCTGATCTTGATCAGAAAAAGACATGGGTGTTGATGAGGCAATTGGCAGCCTGTTAATTCTGACTAGCTAAGGCATGCTAGTTTTTTCAAACCGTGAAGTCTGGTAGCTGAAGATCTTTTAAACACTGATATTTTCCTGTCAAACCTGAGTGTAATGCTATGCTTCAACTGGACATAACCTGTTTGCTACCTAATCATTTCAATGCATTGCTTTGTCAATTCTTGAGAAAAGCATAACCCAGAGCAGAGGCACATGCAGGTGGGTCTCAGGTCATCAGGTCACCCTTATCCAAGTATCTTACATGGGGTCTGGTAGTATGAACCAAGACATCAGCACATCAAATGTACTGGGATCATGTCCTAAAAGTCTTAGTTGGGGTCTGGTGGTATGAACCAAGATATCAGCACATCAAATGTACTGGGATCATGTCCTAAAAAGTCCTAGTTGGGGTCTGGTAGTATGAACCAAGATATCAGCACATCAAATGTACTGGGATCATGTCCTAAAAAGTCCTAGTTGGGGTCTGGTAGTATGAACCAAGATATCAGTACATCAAATGTACTGGGATCATGTCCTAAAAAGTCCTAGTTGTGCGCATGACAGAAGCTCTTCGAGGTTGGCTGATGCCATTTTGAATGTCAATTTCTACTCATCTCTGGATGCTTTCAATATCACATTGTCACTGCATTTGTAACCACCACCAAACAGCTTGGTTTGAGTCCCATGACAACTGGTCCCACCATTCTCTTGTACTTGTAATGTAATGAGGAGCAAGTTTGGCCATGATTGGGTGGGGATTTTAGACACATTTTGAGTCCATTCATTTCCATGCATGCTGGGCGCTCAGTGCTGAATTGTCCCAAATGTCTGGGGTCAAGCCCCCCCCCCCCCCCCCCCAGCACATTAGTTCCCTGCACCTCTGGGTGCAATATTTTGGTATGACACCATCCTATGCTGGAAAGTGTAAAGATTTAAACATATGACTTATCTTGCTCAAAGATTTAGCTTCTCAATAAAGTTAGAAAACATTACAAATCAAGTATCTTGTCACCAAGAAATGCATTGCTTTACACCATGTAAGCATTAATGAAGGACCTGTAGCAGGATGCATCGATGCCCATATCATAAGGCACAGGCCTTGCTTGCATCCATAACAATGCAAATGAACATCACAATGTGTCGAATACAACCATGATGGGTATTACAATTGATAACAGCTCGGAACATCAAAGAAAACCGAGGCCTGCATCGCACAATCAGGGCGTGAAATGAGTAAACATTCGTACTCCGCGCGGAAGGTGATACACGGTGCGGCGCCAAATATTCAAACAATAGCGCTGTTCAACAAATATCCATCATCGTGTGAGTTTTCTACATACAGCCAACCACATAACCAGCAGTGATAGACTGACCAATCAAACGAACGCACTGGAGTTCCAGCAATCTCTTCGAACAGGCTCAGTGGCGCAGTGAGAAATGCGCCAGATAGCACCGCAGGTAGCAGGGTTAAATGACCGACAAAACCTGTGAACGACCCCGTACTCCGAGCCTATGGGACTAACCACCGCCAAACCTTCACTGATGGATTTGACAAAGCCTGGTCGACACCAAATCCACCACAATCTAGACACTATGTTCGATATCTTAACCTGTCCCGGAGATGCCTATCTTGGCTCAGGTCGCAGCTCATCAAAAAACACTCTAAACCGCTAACAATGGATACAGGTAACCTTAAGTTCTGAGCCTATCTCACCAGTTCCGTTCGAAACATTCACCAATCGATGCGCTTTGGCCGGTGTTCTTTCCCTACCATACGGTAGTTACCTGGGTCACATCGGAGGTAACCGAAATTCCCCAAACCGAAAAATTCAGCCTGCAGACATCATGCTCCAAGCCTATGGAAACGATTTCTACAAAAACTCGACCAATCGGCACGTCATGGCTGATTTATTTGTCTTTGAGAAGATAATGACCTCGGATGGGGTCAAAGGTCACCTAAAACGCCCGCCACAGGCATATAGCAGTTTGCAAACAGCCCATGACCCGAACCTTTCGCAACGGTTGGCACAAAACATCCACCAATTCACGTTCACATAATCATAATTCATGTATCACGTTCGCATATTCGGCCACGATGAGCCCTATGTTAAGATTTGGTATGCTAATGCTTGGTCGCCAATTTTTAATGCGAATAGATTCGGTTATTTTTTCTGTCTGGGTGGTCCTGTCCTCGGTAGATGATTTTGAGTTCTGAATGGGGCAGAGGGTTCATACCCCAGACAGGAAAATAAGTGAATTTATTCTTAAAAAGTCATCGACCAAATCTTAACATGCAGGGCTTATCATGGCCGCTTATGCGAACGTGACGTGTGCCTTTATGTGTGATGCTTATATATGTATATATATATATATATATATATATATATATATATGTATATTTATACATATATAATGGTTATGTATAAATATACATATAAGTATACATATATATATATATATATATATATATTTATATATATATATATATAAGTCTCTTCGCCGCTCTTGATATATACACAATATGTGCCAGCTTAAAATCGTTGTAGGTGATGCCTGACGCGTGATGTGTGATGCCTGTTTAATTGAAATCGCTTGCATGTATAATTCATGCGTGGTGTGTGATGCCTGTTTATTTCAACTTGCTTGCATGTTTGAATGAAGTGTGATGCGTGATGCCTCTTTGCTTGAATTCGTTTACATGCACACGTATGTTCGCGCATTCTGCTATCACATAGGCAATGTGTCGTAATAATGGCTGGCAATTGTTCTTCGTTCAATCCCCTGAATGCTGGTGTCCTGTAAAAACTGTGGTTTGATGGGTTTTTTTAATTGAAAAATCTTGTAGGATCATCGGCAGGCAATCTTCAATTCACTTCTGCTAATGTTCCGATAAAGGCGTGTTTCCGAACTGTCGACCCATCTATATTTCCATTTTCTGGTTTCTCTCCTCCACGCATCATTTCAGAGCGTAGTAATCAACCTTTCCCCAAGTGCGCTCAGGTCGATGCCCTCCTGTCAAGCGCACCTCTTCGCCGCTCTTGAAAACAACACGCCCGGGAGCCTGTGTTCTTCTGGGGAAACTATTCTGAGCTGTTGCGCCTCCAAAGCGAAAGCGACCCTCGCCCGCTTCAGTTCGAACATGTGACAAATGAGTCTCCCGTGAGTGCAATGTCACATGCAGCACAGATTTATTTCAGCAGCATTGCTTATTGAGGCAAAGTCCTCAGTGGTCGTGCGAATGGGTTAATGTACGCATTCTCGATGCTCATCAATGAGCTTGTTCACGCAGCGTCGCAGACAGAGTCTTGGTAATGTGGTAGGGGGAGGAGACACATGGGTGATCAAAGGTGCGTGTCTTGTGAAAGCTATCCCCTCGTTCCTCCCCCCCCCCAAAAAAAAAATCGGGTTGGCCCAGGTAATTCTGAGGGCACGATTTTATTCGTGGCATCTCATTGGTTATCTCGAACTGAAACAGAAGCCAGAAGCCACCGAAAGATGCAACTCCGATTATATTTTAAAGTCAATGTACTGAAGAACCAAACGTCAAATTATTGTGTGAAATAACCTGACGGCGCTTTTCATTACACAAAGGCTCAGTGGACATCTTCTAAGCTAGCGGCACTCAGGGGCTGCTCCGATATCTTTCTGTCCAGAGCTTTTATTTCATTGTCCAGGGCTATTTGAACCTAGACGATGTGAACGTAGCTTGCATATTGGAATGGGGCAATACATTTGTATTGACATGTTCAACCCATTCTCATCTGGGCATATCACGCTTTGTTTAAAATCGAGAAAAAGAAAAATCGCATAATGGTTTTGACCTTGTGCGCTCGCAGGCTTCTCAACACATATCCCGACTCTCGGCATTGCAGTCTCCGTAGGCCGCCCGGCGTTGGACCGCAGCCAACATAGGACGTCGGCCGACGGGCTGATGAATACGATTACGTTTTAGAAGCAAGTACCTTTAAATGGCTCAGGATGTCCGTAACTCTGCACAGAAGGCAATCTAGTAGTTTGCTTCCCTGTGTATTTTTTAGATTTATAAATGGAACGGAGTATGGAACAGAACGGATTAGCACTGCATCGCCAACCGGTGCTTTTTTTGGCGCGTCCTTTTGGGCATCTTATCTTTTCCGGGCAAGGGAAACAGTGGGTAGAACACTTGGGGTACATTCTATTTCTGGTCAGGGACTTAGAGGCCATTCCGCAAAAGCGCGGATCCCTGCCAGCTGTAATGCCGGCGATAAAGGGGCGGTGTCCCCTGGTCCATATGGAAGTCCTTCGAGGGGTCACTTATGCATTAAATGTCTGCCTGACGCCGGAGGCCCCCTGACCCGGACATTTGGCCCCAGATCGGCGCAAGGGCCCTCATTGACGCAACAGGACACCTTATCGCCGCAGGTGGTGAGATAATTGCCACAGAGACTTCAGTTCGACGGCACTTGGCTGAAAAAGGGTGGATGGCCGCGTTTGGTACGGGGGGGTGCTAGTTAACACAGACCCTATCCATTGCCTCACTGGGTGCGCTCATCGCAAGTTTCCATATCTTCCCTCATTGTCAGAGCGCCCCGACCAACGCCAGCGACCCTTCGGCCTTTGGGATCCTGTCCCTGTTCAGCAAACGTTCCCCTGGCCGATTCAAGACTCCTTGCCGACACAGAACCTTCTGTTAGGCACGACCGGTGGGCACCCAGGGCTCTGAGCGACACGGAGTCGACTGTTCGGTGATCTCTGGTCAAAACAGAGGCTTTCAGTGTTCCAGCGGTCCTTAATCGGAGCAATGGGTCCTCTGACTGGCATTTGAGGATCCGTCCTTGGGGGTCGGGATCCATGCTTGATGTGACGTACAGATAGCCCTCCGTGCCCTCCACTCAAGCATTTGATCTCGATCCCGATCGATCCAGAGAGGCCCTTCGGGCTCCTCTGCGGGCCTCTCGAACACTGCTCGGGCCGAATCTGGGTTCCTTGCAAATACAGGGCCCTTGTAAGGCAGCACGGTGCCCTGACCGAAAAAGGGTCCTCATTGACCCAGGGGCCCGACCAATGTAAATCGTGGGTCCGACCATGCCTCTGCTGGGAATTGGGCCCTAAGTACCAGACATGGAACTGGCACATGGTACATGGTAAGTACCAGACATGGAACATTGCCCACCTAAAGCAATCGTCATCTGGTGACGAGCGTGTCACGCTCGTTAAATCCCACTATCACAGGGGCGTGTTTGGCAAAATGGGATTGGGAGAGAGGTGTTGAGCGTGGGAAACCTAGCCCTAAATACACCTACAGCTTTCTCCCTGCTCTGAAGTTGACGTGCGCGACTATTAAAGGCTCTCATGTAAACCACCGCCTGGAGGCTGCGAAGTGGGCCGCAAGTCACAACGCAGCACTCATGTTAGGCATGTTTGACACGTCTAGTGTTGTTTCTGTGGCTATTGTCGGGCGTTGATTGCTTTCGGTTCAGACGGCTGGCGTCCATCGTCAGGCTTTTGTAAGTGCAACGGTGTCATCAAATTTTCACGTCGAAGTGAAGGCTGGCACATTTCAGGGGCTTGCGAGCGTAGCGGGCTAGTAAATTGATCACGTTTTTGGGTGCTGGTGTTCTACCGGTTTGTTTCCGATAAGACACCATGGCAAAAAAAACAACTTGCTGCAGTTTGTAGAGCCTGAGGCATCGCTGGATAGGGCCAAACACTCAGATAATAGCATGAAACTTGGTCAGAGTGAGCAAGACATACTAATATTGTCATTAAAAACATGCAGCATACACCATGAACAGAACATACCCAAGTGAGTAGAGCACAAACATCAAGCTTTTGAAGTGTGGCTAGCTGAGGCAGCACTTACCTGCCGCACTCATCTGAACACGACATCTTAGTTTGCACTTTTTTGTTCCTTTTCCGTGCGAAGAAATTTGTAGAAACCTTCTTTGAAACTGACATAATTTTTAACCGCCATTTTTAATATCCTGCTAGTTCTTATGCTCCAGAAGATTGGGGGGGGGGGCAAACTCACCGTTGAGGGAAGGGAAAATTGGACATTGAGAGGCCAGTGACCCAACCAAAAAATAGAAATCGAAACCCGTACCTTACGATGTCTTGACGGTGCTGCACGGACATTATCCGGTGTTATTCTTAGACGCCCTAAAGGTGTATTTCTAGGCTCCCTTCAAGACAGTATCCACATACGTGCGTTTCTTATTCACTCGGCTCTTTGTGTACCTCGGCCGTGTGACGCTCCTGGCAGCAAAGGCCAGGGACGTGGCGCTTGGTGCAGCTGTTGCGGGCGCAGGACGGGGGACGGGGCGTCCGCCATTGTTCCATTGACTAGCAGCAAGCTATCGCCAGGCCCCCGCGGGCGGTCACCTGGGTGGGTCGCTGTCGCTCTGATGGCTCGGGCGCCGGCGGCGGCGCTGGCCCACTGACGGGCACCGCTCAGTCCCCCGCCGGCTCACAGACATGGAGCACATCGGCGGTCTGCTGTCGGTGGGCGCCACCTGGTCTGCGGTGCCCTTCGGTGCTCAGACGCCAGGCGAGGAGATCCGCGTGGCCGCCATGCACGACCCTCCGTACGTCGCCATCTACCCGCAGCCCGACGGTTCGTACAGGTACGGCGGCTACTTGTACGAGTTGTGGCAGGTCATAGCGCGGGAGCTGCACCTCCGCTACAGAGTGGTGCCGCTTCTGGCAGGCGGCTATGGGAGCATGGACGAAAATGGGTCATGGACGGGATTGGTGGGGGAGCTGGCGTACCGACGGGCAGACATTGCCTTGACATGGATCGACACCAGACAAGATCGCGCCACTGTCGTCGACTACATCGATGCCGTGCCCGTGGAGCTCTCTCAGTACACATTCTACGTTCGTCAGGGCTCAGGGGCAATCCCACAGATCACGCCCAGCATGTTCAGCTCTCTACTAAGGCCACTGCACAGCGACGTCTGGTGTGCACTGCTGGTCTCGTTGCTGGTGGTGTCAGTGGTGCTTCGCGCCTCGCTGCGCTTCAACCACGAGCGGGCCGAGGGTCGCGACACGGTGAGGGACATGACCTGGGGCGCGTGCCTGCTCTCCAGCTTTATGTCGGTGGTTGGCCAGGGCTGGGCCAGCACGCCGAACTCTCTGGCCGCCCGCACCGTCACCATCTCCAGCTGGGTGCTCGGCACCCTCATCTACGTCAACTACACTGCCAACCTGATCTCGTACTTGGCCGTCGTCACCGTCGAAAAGCCGATCAGTAGCCTGCGAGAGTTCTCCGAGCAACTGGGCTGGACGTTTGCCGTAGAACCAGGCATTGGCATTCTCAACGACTGGAAGGTGAGCAGCGACCCGTACGAGCGCGAGCTCTCCCGGCGCGCTGTCAGCCGAGATGGGTTTTTAGCGCTGAATTTGACCGCCCAGAGTGTCAATCGCACTACACAAGACAAGGTCATGACTTATACCGACATCCGGCGGCTGTTCTATGCGGGCGTCAGCGAGGCCTGCGAGTTGGTCCCCCTATTGTCCAGCATGCCCCCGAAGTTGGCCAGCTACATGGGCATAGCCAAGGGAAGAGACGAGATGCGCCAGGCGATCAACCAGGTCATGCGCAAGATGAACCAAGCGGGCACCTTGTCGCGGATGAAGAAGCAGTGGCTGGCAACCAACCAGGACATGTGTGACTCCCCAGCCAACTTCAAGGAGCTCTCCTGCGCCGACCTCCTGGCCGTGCTTGTCATCATGCCTCTGGCGCTGATCTCCTGCGTAGTCATCCTTCTCGGCGAGTATGCCTGGTCCAAGATGAGATCGATGCAACACGACGGGAAGACGGCACCCTGCCGATACTGGCGGTTGTCATCACACAACGGCAAGGGCACGGTGCTGAACGCATGGGCCGCAAAAATTCAAATCTAGTTGTGTTTTCCCAAGATGTGACGTAATTCTGGGAGATATTTCCCGAGTAGGGAGCAGCTAGTTCGGTGATGTTGTGCTTAATGCATTTTATTTGCCACGCACGGTTACTACCTTTTATGCATAGCCCATAGGGTGCACTACCTGGATATCACTTTACATGAAGAAAACGTACTAAACTAGACAGTATTCTCCTTACGTTTACATCCCAAGAATGATGACCTAGGAGAGGATCAACGTCATCGTAATGGTCAACACGTAAAATGCGCGTTCACCCCGGAACAAAACCGTTTGATATTGGGGAGACCAGCGTCCTGTCCGTCTTGCCCACGTCATCGTTGAGCCTCGTTGTCGGTCGGCGCCGGTGACACCGCTCTTACGCAATGAGTCCACATCCGTGTTAGGTGCGATGATGATGATGATGGTGATGATTTGGGGTTTTGGGCGTATGGACTGCTGTAGGTCATGCAGCGTCCATAATCATCATTTTATGCAAGGCCGCAAATCAGGCAAGTGTATCAATCAGGCCACCCTATGAGTTATTGATGGTCAGGCATGGTATCATGATCAAAACATTGCTAGGAAATCTACAGCGTGGCCAATTTTACATTAATATTGCCGTTTTTGCGAAAACATACCTCCTAAAAAAATTCACGCCATCTGAAGTGCTACGAATGCCCAGAAAGTATATTCACCTTTTTGAGCGGCTCCAACTGATTTATTTCACTCGTCACGAGCATTTATCCAATGAAAAATGGCAGTTCAAGTACAATTGACATATCTGAAGCTGCTCTAGGTCAATTATATCACCAATCTACAAAATCACTCAAAAACGCTGAAAGCGCATTGTGAGAAGGAACAAAACGCCGGTGAATCCGACAAAGTAGTCCGTTATGCTCAGTATGTGTAACCTATACGCTACCAAAACCGTGAAGAACGCGAAACTATCCAGTTCTGTACTGCTGACAACTTCTGGGACATACCGGCCTGCCGTGTAATAGTCGATAAAAGGGGGGAGAGATGTGTCCGTTCATGGGTATGTGTGTGGCAGTGCGTTATTCACAAAAGCCCGAAATACCCAGGGAGTAGCCCGACCTGAGCACTGACACACGAAGCTAAAACACACGTGCAAATACAGTCGCTACCGAACGGGATCTGCCGTTTCACTGAACGGCGCTTTGGCGTTTTTTTACGTCTGAGGCAACAGCATCCTTCGCCGCTGTTGCAGACATATGCTTCAGCTTCAACCGCTTCTTCATAGCTCGGTACCGATACATCTTGGCTCTTCATCATCGTTCATGGTTCCCATGCACGCCTGCTTACGCCCGTCGGTGGATGTCGACTAACGCTGACGACGTAAGCATCGCTGATGTCTGATAATGCCACGGACGGAAATTTTGGTAAGATTTCGCAAGCGATCCGCTGCGGAGGATTTCTTTTTCCGACGTCGTTGGCTGTTCGGTGCGTCGGTCGACGGATGTCTAATGACGGAGCGGCAGACGAAAGCAGCAGCAGCACATGGGACGTTATATAACACAGAATATACCGTACATGCATACCGCTGGGCGTACGCGCGGATTGGAGATCCAGAAATGTTGTTGGATGACCGCTGCCACGCTGAGAGGCGCAGCCTGACGCCTTCCGTAATGAGCGGCACCGTTCGGCGTCCCCTCCTACGGTCTTCCGAGCACAGGCCAAAACAAACACTGGCAGCAACACGAAATTTTCACTGTTAATCTATCAAGTTTGCACTTAAGATGCAAACGTGAAATTTGAATCTGCCAAGACAACTGACCCAGGTCAGGTCAAAAGTGTCATATTCGAAAAAAAGTTTCGACTCTGGGTCATCCAACCCACTCCAAAATATAAGTACCAATCTTGCCCACCAACCTGCCGATTAAAATGCGAAAAAATAAGAGGTGTGCATGATAAACAGTTCCGGAGGGCAGAATTTCGCGCGTCCGTCAAACTAGCAGAAGACTGATATCCAACTGCCAGTTGGATATTCCAGGGCGTCACGATCGCTCCAAATTTGGTGCGCAGGACGTGCATGGTCCTCTCAACACACTGATTTCGGAAATCAGTATCTTGGAGGTCGGATTTTGTGTAACTTCCGGGTCACAAGAAACGTAACATGACAGTTTGATATTGCGGGGCGCTTCGATTGCCCCCAAATTTGGTTCACAGGGCCTTTTCAACAGGCTGATTTCGAAAATCACTATCTTTGAGGTGGGATTTTGCGTAACTTCCGAGTTACGAGAAGCGTAACATGCCAGTTTGATATCGCAGAGCACCTCGATTGGGTCCAACTTTGGCGTGCAAGGCCTTCTCAAGACGCTGAATCTGAAAATTGCTATATTTGGGGTGGTATTTTGCGTAACTTCCAAGCTACATGATGCGTGCCACGCCAGCATGACACTGCGGTGTTACGCGTCTTGTTACTCAGAAGCTACGTAAAATCCCATCCCAAAGACAGCGACTTTCGGAATCAGCTACAAATAAAAAAAAGAAATTAACTTCCGTGCACATCACATGTCAATGTCAGGACTACAGCACTGCATGCAAGGATAGGTCGCTGTCGTTAACACGCGCTCGGGGGGGGGATGGGGGTAAAATGACCCCCCCCCCCCGACGGTTTTCCCAGAATGGTTTCCGAACGGTGCGGCGCAGCCGCGCCAAACTTTGCATAGATGTAGACAGTTAAATAGCGGATCCTCTGACACCAGAAATTTAGATATACCTTGTTAGGTCGCTGACCTATGACAGGTCAAAGCCAGGCCATTGTTTCAGGGAAGGTACTTTCTAGGGAATCGTTCAATCCGACCAAACAACAGAGTGTTAGACCGAAGCCAGACGTCTTTGAGATACTTTCTTAGGCAACACAACAGTGGAATAAACAAATAGCATTGACCTAGCGTCAGGCATGAAGGTAAGACCACGATCAAAACCAACCTGTTTTATTACTCTCGGGATCGCTGTATGGGCTGGTTTCTGGTGCTCATTTCTAATACATTGATAGCGGGAACCGCATTATTATACGCCTTTTATGAACTTTTTATGGTCAGATAGGTCACTGACCTAAAATGACCCAGGTCAACGTTTGCTTTTAGGAACATGCTGCCAAGCATAATCTTTGTCGTTTATCCAAATGCAAAACTCAAAACAGTCTTACATCATTTTGGTCACCATAGCCTTTTAGAAGGTTAAACAAGGTCACTGACCTTAACTGAGCTTGTGACATTTCGCTTCGAACAGTTGCCTAGATTCTAGGAGCCCTTTGGAGGCCAATCTGGAATTTGACTTTGCTTGACCTTATCTGACCTGAAGATCATGACCTAGGAATTTAAAACTTTGAATGAAGTTAGTTCACGTACAGGTAAACATACCGTGTGAATTTGGTGTATCTAACTCTTAGTTCCCGCGATATCAGGGGGTCAAATCAAACCCCCCACCCCCCACCCGAGCGAAGGTTATCCAACCGGCCACCCGGGCGCGTGTTGATTAAGGTTGGTAATGCAGTATTGATATCCTCAACAGTGTTTCGCAGATTTTGGTACGAGATTCAGGACTCATGTCAAACAGCCCACCAAAGCTTTTCTTATGACTGGTGCCAAGACAAAAATATCCACAAACAGGCCATTCACTAATCCCCCACCCGACACAGCGCCCGAGACGAGAATGGCCGGCTGGCGTCAGCTTTCGTGCGTTTCAATGTATTTTTTAGGTCTGGCTGTCAGATGCTGTCAGGTATTGCTGTCCATGTCCATGGCAAAACGAGTCCATGACGCCATCAAACGATGGCGTAATAGGTGCATTTTTACAAACGTTGAAATTTCGCTACTCGGGTCGTTTTTCAACCTTGTAAGCTTACTAATAGAAGTGAGCCTTTCCCATCATCTCTAATGCTTATCTCAATATCTTCAATTCCCTTTGATACAAGTTTTGTCATACACAGGGGCAAATGTACATTTAATCTGCTTCTTGTGCGTTTGTTGGATTGCTCGAATTAAATCATTCGTTGTGTTCGGTAAGTCATAAATCAACTCACCTTTAGTCATACATATTAGTTCAAGCTGGCCAACATTTCAAGGATATTTATTTACCACTCTAAAACCAATGTAAGACGGTCGGACGGAAAACATTCGAATATGGCAAAACACGGGGCATGCTCTAAGAGACATAATAATTGGTGAACCATCAGGTAACAGATTATACACCCGAATATCTAGTGGAATTACAAAGCACATTCAAACAGACGCACATCACTTTTCCAGCCAGTTTCACACCATAGAATGGTAAAGACATCGAATCACCCTGTTGCCATTGTCACTGAACAAGTACAAAGTGGTGCATGACTAAGCTGTTTGTTTAAGTCAGGAATTCTTTCCTTGATCTGGCTGGTTTCAAACACTTGTATACGGCGATTGTTCGGACATGATTTTAGAATCAGTGTGTTCAGTCATGTCAGAGCTTAGGAGTTTTTGGATGTGGGTTTCGTGCATATGTTGGTCTGGCGCTCCCTCCTGAAGGGGCAAAGTCGTGCGTCGTGATAGGGATGTTGTGGTCGTACCAATATAGGTAAGTTGCAGAGCCGGCATCCTCTGTGCGGGCATTGAAATTCATACTCTATATTGGTGCGCTTTAGTTGGTTTGTATTACTCTGGACCTGTTCATCCACCCAATGACAGCAGGATAATTCGATGCCTTTACACTTCCATGGTATTAAGCTGGCTGGAAAAGTGATATGCGTCTGTTTGTATGTGCTTTGTGCTTTGACTAGATATTCAGATGTATGTGCTGTTAACTGATGTTTACCAATGATTGTCGCGTAGAGCATGCCTCGTATTTTGCTATATTCGAATGTTTTCCGTTGGACTGTCGTACATTACTTCGAGAATGGGGAATAAATGTCCTTGAAACGTTGGCTGGCTTCAACTGATGTTGATGACCATAGGCGAGTTGATTTATGACTTACCGAAAACAACGAACGATTTACTTCGAGC